TAATTATATGTGTATATATATATATGTATATATATATATACACATACACAGACACATGAGACTCTGCGTGCTCGCTTTATCGATTGTGGTGTTTGGGTTGGATCAAAGTGATCGCTGATCCGCAGTATGGCGAATTTTCGAACTAAAATCTTGTGGACTGGCAACGTTCAGCACAGAGGCAAGTGTGCTTTACATGCCAACGGAAGGTACGCGATTGAGATTGACTGAGCAGACCGAGACACTGCAAGCATTTCGTTCCGGTGCAGCACAAAGCTATCCTTGCAAAGAGCACAACTACTGTAAATTGCGCCCTCGATGCTTTGCAGCCATGCATTTTGGTCGACGGCAACAGCCTTGAAGCCAGCGGCCGAAATCAGCGTCATGTGGGGTTGTGTTCAATCGAAAGTGCGGATTGAGGCTGTTGCAAAAATGACGAGCAAGCGAAGGTGCAAAGTATGTTAGGCATGATGGCAAAAGAAAAGATGATAGCTTGTTCACGTGTAATGCTGGCAAGGATGGAAGGAAATGTTTTACTGCACGAAGCTCCAGGCTCGTGAGCATTTTGTCAAAGATTCTAGCGGTTCTCGTAGAATGGCAGTGCAACCGTTGAAACAGCTCTTGGCAAGGAGCCCGTGTTTTGAAGGATGAAGGCTTGGTTTACACGCTTCTTATGCAGCTTGACTTGATAATGTCGATAGTCACCATGTTTCACATGTTTTTGCATCAGTCTTGGCATGGCAGGGCAGTTGTGCTCCCTTGTTTTGGGTCTTCATTTCGGTTTTCGTGCAAGCCACGCCGAGAAAGCGCATCTCAGGTGTCTTTCCCTCGCCGAAGCGCGAAAATTATGGAAACTACGAAAGATGTTCGTCAGAGTGTTGAACGACAAGGCCGCCTGGATTGTTATATTGTTTGGGGGGGCTTCATGAGATCATTTCAAGTTTCGAGCCAGGTTGTTCCGCTGCTCGCACTGCTTGAGAGGGAGTGGAGTTGCTCATCCGCACTGGCAGAGCCTTCACTTGCAGGGTGCTTGCGCATGAATTTAAGTGTTTGTCCAAGGCATCGTCCGCGAGTTTTTAGACTCAAATCGCAGCGGTTTCCAATACAATCTTGACCGGGTCTTCACGGAGGCCTGCCGGTTTTTGCATTGTCTTGACTTTGTGCCATGTCCGCTATCAACGGTTGTGTCAGGCTGTGCTTCACACGGACTTTGAGGGCCTGCGGCTTTTGGCACAGAGGTTCCCATGTTGGGGGTCAGCAGACCATGAGAGAGCACATAAACACGCGACCTGGCCTGCTCGTCAGGAATTACGCTTTTGGTAGCTCGCGAGGAGACTCTCGCCTGAAAGTTTTCGTGCAAGAGGCTGGGCTTGTCTTCGTTTGCTCGTGAAGAAGTCCTCCTATATACACTGGCTCTGCGACAGGCGTTGCGAACCGCGCACATCGAGAGGTTGTCGCTTCTGCGCGTCCTCAATTATGATATTTCGGAGGACTCAAAGACGCCCTGCATCGCACCCTGTTCCCCGATGGCCCACGATCCGCGATTCGTTTGCAGGACGTCGAGGAGTGCCGGGCCCGCGGAGATCTGGGGCAGCTTTTGAGCGAGGGGCGCCTTGACTCGAGGCTAACAGCAAGCAAAATGTAAGCAAGCACAGTTGCAAACTTTGCGAGCCCAGGTCGATCACCGTGGATTTTCTCGGGTCACGTTCCTCCTTCCGCTTCCCACTCATGGACGGGGCGAAACACAACGAGCAAGCACCCCCCCCACCCCCACCCTTATTCCACGTTGTGCTCCTGGCAGGACCTGGCCAGGAGCGCGTACGCGGAAGTTCAGATCACCGACCTGTGCAAGCAGCGGGAGACCCTTTACAAGGCTCCCCAGCTCTCCAAGATTCGTTTTGCTCTGAAGAGCAGCTCCCAGAAAGGCCATGGAGAGCCGGTGCTGAGGTTCCTTTCATTCTTTGCGCCTTCATCAAAGCGGGAGCCAGCATGAGCTCCTTTCTTCGAGTGGAAAGCTGTGGGTGCCCAGATCGCATTGGCATATCAAACCGGTATATACCTCATAGACGGTAATGCCAGTGCAGCTTCCGACTTTCGATTGAGAGACGGCCAGCTTTCACCGCAGGTACCTGTTGCTGCTAGCGCTGGCAGCCGAGTCCTTTAACTTCGTGTACCTGCTGATTCAAGAGGCCTGTGGCAAAGGCAAGGCTTTGCGAACTTGATGTTGAAAACACCTTGGCCCAGGCTATCACCCTTGAGGCAGTGCTCCGACAGTACGAGCCATACTTGCTACAGATGTTGCGGCAGGCGCATTGGCGTCCTCATTCTTGCATTGTGGCGTATCTAAGCAGGTTGTCTGGATGAGCCGTTGTCTATAGACTGCATAGGTTTTGAGAAGACTTTACATTGGACGTCAGCGGAGAGCGAACATGAGGGACTGAGCGTGATGCAGGCGATGCCGCAGCGCCCAGGGGTCGTTGCCTTGGGTTCAGCACGTCATTCCTGTTTGCAAGTCTACCCCGAAGATTCGAAAAAGGGTTCATTTTCACGGAGGTGCTGGACTTGCTCTGTTTCTGCGGCTTCAAACTGAAGCTCGAGGCCATAGAAAAGCGCACAAGCCTGGGCAGAGTTCTGTCTTGGAGAGATTAAGCGCTGTCTTGTTTCGGTCAGATTCACTGCAGTGGTGCAGCAGGTAAATCCAGGCTAGTCACATGACAGCCCCCCACTTTCGGATTGACTTGCCGGAGCACACAGTCCTGGTTGTCCGTCCATGCAGAACTGTACAACCTCAAGCCTCAAGCCTGGCTCCATTCAGGTGTATCTTAGCTTATCTAATCTACGATTAGAAGGGGCGCTAGGTCTCGTGAGTCCGAGAGCACGTCGCGCGGCCAGATCCCGATGCACGGGCCTCTGCAAAGATCGGTCCGTGGACACGGCTCCGAATTAGCAGCGTGGGGCAAACCGGCTATGCAGCTCTTGTGATTGGTCCGGAGCCGTGGAACAAAATTGCAGGGGTCGTGCTGGTCGGGATGGCACTGGCTGCAGTGCCGGTGCGCTTGCCCACATGGCTCGTTCAATTGCTTTGATGGCCAAACGCCCGACAATCCAAACCAACAGCTCGCAGAAACTGGCCAGTGTGAATCAAGCTGGGAGCCTCCGAGTCTCCTGGAAGGAACAGGAGCAATTCGATTCTTCTGTCCTCGACCGCGTTCTAAAGCAGGTGCAGCACTCGGAGCAACTTTCTCGGCGTTGGTAAAGCAACGGATATCTTTGCAGGATTTTCTCTCCGTCGAGCGGATTTCCAAGCTGGGTTTCGACCTTCTGGCGTTTGCCGAGCGCCAGCAGGTGTTCTCCTTGCAGTGCCAGTGGCGCCGGTACTTTAACCTGTAGTCGTCAGGAGCAGCTCAGCACGCTGCTGCAAAGAGGTCTGGAGGACACCGACTACTGATAGGTGACCGAAAGCCTGCGGAATGACCTATAAACATGTGATTCAACATTCAATAGGCATGGTGGGTGATGGACTTTCCAGCTGATCTTGGAAGGACTTAATAGGCGACTCCGTGTTCGGCTTGGCAACCGGGGAGATGCAAATGTCGACGCGTGAGCCTGGATTGATCGAGGCTGAGGACGTTCACACGGAGGGCGACTCCAGCTCCTGGCCAAGCACATCGCAAAAAAAGTAGCCGGTCGCAGAGCCACAGAGAGGGGCAGAGAAAGCATGGCAAGGTGAGGCCAAGAGACCGCAACTGGCAATACGAAGGTTTGCCAGCATCGACAGGCTTGCAGTGGATAGAGTGTTTCGGACATGTATGTCGAGTGTCTTCGAGTCTTTGCTTCGCAGGCGGGTGTTGGACCTCCATTTTCGGAGCCCTCAGTGCTGAGCTCGCCTCCCATCGCAACTGGGCGCCGTGCATCTGTCGTGTGCGAGGTTTTTGGAGTTCGCAGATGACCTCATGGGGCGCAAAGCATTTGTACAGATGCGCTGCATTGTGGAGGCTCGTTCTGCCCTTCTCAGGCCTTCAGATTCTTGTGCCTTGGTGAGGTCCATCCACAAGCATTCGGCCATTATTTTCGGCAGCACTACCAATCCATGGAGGCAGCTCTGCCGCTCTAGTTGTAGTGCTGCAGTCACATGGTGGTAATCGCGGAGGAGTTGCTGATGGATGCCTTCTGCCGACGGTGCTTGACCCGAGTGGGTCCAGGTTTCGCTCCACATCTCGCCACTTCGATCCAAGGCAGATAGCCCTGGTCATTGACCTGACATCGCTTCACCTTCCGCTCGCTCAGTTTTTTGAGAAGCATCAGGCTCGGCACGTGATTTCGCGCGGCTGTTGGTGCAGTCTTAGATGTGAGTGTAACTGGTCCGAAAACCCTGGCCCGAATCTATTTAGCCATTCGCCTGCCAGAGCTTGGCTCAAAGAGTAATCGCTGGGCATGACCCTGGCTTGCAATGCAGGACGGCCTCATGTGTCCAGAGATGTTTCTATCACGAGTCGAGAGTCTATGAATTCGAAAAGGAGGAGCTGAGCAAGCTCGAACGGCATCGTGGGGCTTTGGACCGGCAGCTGCAGTCTCTTGACCAGGTGGAGGACGGCGTACGCTGCCCTGTGCGGCTGCGTTGCAAGCTGTAGGCCAGGCACCGCTTGTGAGGACTTCGGCAACGAGGCGGCAGAGCTTGCGCAGCAGCTGAGGCCAGGCCGCGGGGGGCCAGCACATCACCACAGCACATCACACATCGGCACTGAGCAGTGCAGGCAGCGGCAGGGCGCGGCCTTGGGCCCCAACAAAAGCCCGCAAGGAAGAATCGCCGACTCCATCGAGGCCGGGCCGTCCGGGAAAACGTGCGAGCCGCGAGCTGTGTCTCACAAGGCGGTGACGGCCCTGCTGCGAGAGGATGTGCTGGACTGCCAAAGATTGCAGGCAGCGGCTTCCGAGCTGTGCGTCCGAGTGCAGCATCTGTCTGTTTCCGGAGGCAGCTCAGGCGGTCTCCACCTTCGAGGCACAGGGACATACAGGGACGCCAGGTGTGGAGGTTTGTGGATCCCATCGCATTGAGATGCCACAGGAGATTGCCGCCCAGTGCAGCCCTGGGGGCAGATTGGATTTGCAAGCCACGGCCGGCAACAGCTGAAAGCCCTGTGTCAACGCCTGGTGCTTTGTGCCTTTGTGCCTTTGCAGGAGCGGAAGCGGACTGCAGAGGCTGCGCAGAGGAGCGGAGCTCCCATGGCTCCGATGCTCCAAGACTCCGCGCTTGCATCCGCGCTCTTAAGCTCGCTGGAAAAAAGCAGAGAGCCTCAGCAAAGAAGCACTGGCCAGTGAGTTGGTGGTCGCACACGGAACAGGTGCAACTGGATGCGGTTCTCCACAAAGCTTGGTTTGCAACAAAGGCCAGGCTTTTCGGACGGTGCTTAGAGCATCTTGGTGATGGGGCCGTCGCTTCCGCAGGCATGGACAGAGCTGGTCATGTTGCGTTCCGAGGCAGGCTCCACAGGGATCCAAAGGGTTAGCGATGCCTCGAGGCAATGTCATGTGAGAGCCCGTTTCAGGCTTGGCAAAAAAGTTAAACGAGGGCTGCTTCCTTGCTGAGGTTGCCGAGTTCCGCTTCAAGTCGTTCTTCCTGCGGATGCAGGCAACAAGCGCGGATTCCACGCTTGGTAGTTTCAGTTGCCCACCCTCTCCCACAAGACAAGAATGTCAAACGGAAAGGAGGAGACAGACGCTGCGGTTCTGAAGATCCTCCAAGACGGATACTGGCACCTCGCATGAAGCCTCTTGGGCCAGCAGCGTCCGTCTGTTTCATGGTCTGGCGAGGTTTGATCTGCACAAGCTCGCTCAGCTGGACTTCGACTTCCAAGATTTCTTTGATCGTCGCTTCCAGGAGGTGGGAGCAGTGCCAAGCACTCTGTCCAAGCTGCAGCCCGGTGCGGTTCAAGACTTTCAGGTCTCCTCGGCGGTTCTGCAGTTCATGACCATGCCGCGATCTCGGGGGAGAGCGGCTAAGGCCCAGCCATGAGAGCTCTCGGCGCCTAGGCCGCACCCTCACTTCGTGCTTTTGCGGGAGCTCTCGGCTCTCGACTTCCCATGGGAACGCTTCATGGAGGCCTGGGCCCGACCGGGAGCTCCCCACCCACCGGCAAGTTCTCATAGCAGGAGCATGCGGCGTGCATCCTCGCTTCGAAGGCCCGACTCCTAGAATCGGAGAGGAATCAGTGAGCTGAAGCTGACGTATCCTTTCAGGACCAGGACTACCTTCAGTTCCTGATCTCTCTCGGTAGCTTCGAGGTTGGATCGAAGGCTCGAGCTGTTCAGTGTGCCCTGAAACCCCGAGCGATTCTCCTCCGTGACGGAGGTCTACAGAGTGGTGGAGCAAACGTGCAGACTGTGCGCGGCTCAGCCCCGCTCGGCCCGATGTTTGGCGCCCTCACCAGACGAGAAGCCGTAGGTACCACTCCATGGCCAACACCATGTTCAACACTCCCAGTTCCTGGCCTTCGCTTCCTGTGGAGGCTGTTTGCACTAGTGGCTTACGAAGGGTATTCACTCAACCTTCCTGGGGCAGGCAGCAGTGGCGCCAAGCCAAGCTTCTGAGGCTGCAACCTTGGGACTTACACGGAAGTCTCCTTTTCTCCTCAGACTCCGGGTCCGGGTCTCCACGGGAGCCGAGGCCTCCAGCGAGGGCCTTGAACCCTGCGACGCCGCAGCGAGTTCTGGGTCGCTCGGCAACCGCTCTTCGTACTCCTGTATAGGGTCCCAGCTTCGTGCAGCGCTCCAATCCGCGACGAGCCGAGGATAGTGCTGAGTACTCCAGGCCAGTGCAATTATTGTAAATGCTTCGCGTCGTGCGCCGGAGGGCGAGCTGGGGAGGTGGGGGGGGCCCAGGGAATGAAGAGGGGAGGAGGTTCCCGCATGAGGAAAGAGGGAACACGCCAGCCTGCAAGCCAACGCGAGAGCCGAGGTGGGGAGTATCGCGGATAGCCAAAGTCCAAAGCCCATTTTGGTTCAAGCATGTCGTCTTGCTTCGAGTGCTCACTGGATTTTCCAAACATGAAAAGCTCTGGCAACTCTCAAGGATTGCGGGAAGTCCTAGCAGAGAGCCAGGTGGTGAATGATTAGGCTACAGGGGCGATTCGAGCAGCTACGAAGGGCGAGAGCGATGCACAGGGAGCTCAGCAACTGCTGGAGACACTTCAGCAATACCAGAATGCGAGATCGCAGAGTAAGCAAAACACGACAATCCAACATAATTAACTCCGAGATCATCAAGCAGCAACTCAGCATTATGACGACTTTGAAAAATGAGATCGCAGAGCTGCAGATGAAGAAGAAGGAAGTGCGGAATGACATAGAGAGCTTGGAAAAGAGCGCGATTCTTCAAGGTAAGGCAAGGAGAACAGAGCCCCTGCTCAAAAGAACTCAAGAGAACCTAGCTCCTGCCAAGCGAAATCGACGATCGAGCCAGAAACATGCAGAGGAAGATTTTCAGCTCATCAAAACATGTTCCTGGCTCGTATGGCTTCTGGGGAATGTGATCGAGAAAATGATCTCGAACAATGTGAAAACGTCTGGACCCTTCTTCGAGAAGGAGCTTCCCCTGGCGAACAGCACCCATATGAGTCCGATGTTCTAGGCGCTTGCAGAGCCTATCTCCTGGCCCCGGTCAAAGACAAGCGAGGTTCCACGCTCAAGAACCTCGCTTGTCTTTGACCGGGGC